AAGGAAATTTTACAGGATTAATATTAAGAAGCACTTCTGCAAACAAAGGACAGTGGAAAACTGGAATACACTTTCTCTCTCTGTACACCACCCAAAAAAAATGAGACAATTGAGACTAAGATAGTTTTGTTTGGTAAATATGGAATAAAGACACTTAAGTGGCGTTGAGGTATATCAACCAGAATGGCTTGCCAGTCTAGAATGGCTGAATAACTCATTGCTTGTCATTCCCGTTTTGATAGTTACTTCCCAAGGACTGCGATCATACAATTGAGTAGCAACTTAATTTTGTCATTTTCTGAATTGTTTATCCATGTGCGTTTGGAAAAGTGGGATCTGACTTCAGTCTTGTAGTAAATCTGACACTGAACTACTCAAAGGTGAAAATTGGTACTGTTTACTATATAAAATTGAGATTGATATGTGTAAACATGCATTTTTTTTAATACTTGCTGGCCTTGAATTTCAGAAATGTTGAAACTCGTCACAAGATAAACATTAGCGTTTCAGGTGCTTCCATCAAATATTAATCGCTTCTAATGGAAATTCTTTGCCCAGGAGACTACATTCAGCAAGCTGCCTTACGAGATTTTGTTTTAGCTTTCTTTTGGATTCAGCAAGGTACTGGGCATGTGATGAGTTGAGTGATGAAAGATCTTTGACACTAAGCTGCTTTGTAATGGAAGGAATTGGTTTGGATTGTTTGCAGCTGGTTTTATTTCTGGTATTCAGTGTCTATTTTATGGACCGTGCAGTTTTCTGGGTGTGTCTTTCTTGGACTTTCAGAAGGCATTTAATTAATTCCCACATAAGTGATTAGCACTAAAATTAAAGTGCACGGAACTGAGGATAATCTGCTTGCATGGATGGAGAACTGGCCAGAAACAGGAAACAAAGAATAGGAATAAACAGATCATTTTCTGAGTGGCACCCGGTGATTAATGGGGTACTGCAGGGAGCAGTGCTTGGATCCCAGCTATTTACCAAAATATACTAATGATTTAGATGTGGGAACTAAATGTAATATCTGCACGTTTGGAGATGGCACAAAGCTGGGTGGGAGGAGTTCTGTGGTTGATGTAGAAATGCTTCAGTGTGACTTTGACAAGTTGAGTGAGTTGGCATATTCATGGCAGCTGAAGAATAATGTGAATAAATGTGAAGTTATCCACTATGGTAGCAAAAGCAGGGAGGCAGATTATTATCTGAATGGCAAAAAATTAGGAAAGGGGGAGGAGGAATGAGACCTAAGTGCCCTTGTACACTAGTCGCTGTAGGTTAGCAGACACTGAAGAAGGAAAATAATATGTTGACCTTCATCGTGTGATGATTTGAGTACAGGAGCAGAGATGTTTTGGTGAGACTACTACTGGAGTGTTGTGTGCAGTTTTAGTCCTCCCTATCTGAGGAAGTATGCTGTAGCTATGGAGGGAGTGCAGCAAAGGTTTTCAAGACTGATTCCCGGGATGGCAGGATTGACTAATGAAGAGAGACTGGATCAATTAGGACTACATTCACTGGAGTTTAGAATGAGGGGAATCTCGTAGAAACTGAGAAAGCTGTAACGGTATCCGACTGGTTAAATGGGGGAAAGATATTCCTGATGACCGGGGAATCCCGAATTGGTCTCAGGATACAGGGTAAGCCATTTAGGACTGAAATGAGGAGAAATTACTTCCCTAACAACATAATAGCTGCTGGAAATCTGAAACATAAACAGAAATTGTGGGAGAAACTCAAAGTCTGACAGCATCTGTGGAGAAAATTAGGTTAACATTCCTGGTCCAGTGACCATTCTCCAGAACTTGATAGCAAGAAAAAGATGGTATAACTTGATGAGTCGTGAAGGCTGCAGGAGCTCCAAGTGGAAAATGAGATGCTGTTCTTCCAGCTTATGCTGAGCCTCACTGGAGCACTGCCACAGGCCTGAGGCAGAAATGTTGGCCAGGGAACAGATGTGTTGAAGGGAAGGCAACTAGAAGCTTGGGGTTATTTTTTGCGTCAAACGTAGATATTGCGCAAAGCAGTCACTCAGGCTGCGTTTTGTCTCCCGAGTGTAGAGGCGATCACGCTGTGAGCGTTGAATGCAGTAAATTAGATTGAGTGCAGGTAAATTCCTGCTTCACCTGAAAAGGTGTGTCTGGGACCTTGGATAGTGAGAAAGGAGGAAGTAAATGGGTTGGTGTTTCACCTTCTGTGATTGCATAGAAAGGTGCTGTAGTGAGATGGTGGGAATGGAGGAGTAATGAACCAGGGTGTCCCAGAGGAAATGGTCCCTGCAGAATGCTGATAAGGGACAGAAGAGGAAAGTGTGTTGGTGGTGGCAATGGTGGCTTATGATTCTTTGTTGTTTGAGTGGAAAGTGGGAACGGGGGAACCCTGTCAGTGGTTTGAGGGGGAAGAGAAAAAATGAGGGCAAAAGTGTGGGAAATGGACCAGACACAGCTGAGGGTACTGTCAACCACTGTAGTGGGGAATTGTCAGTTGAGGAAAAGGGTAAATATTTCCTGTGGAAGGTAGCTTCATCAGAACAGATGCAATGAAGGCTGAGAAACTGGGAGAACAGAATTGGGTCCTTATAGGCAGCAGGGTGTGAGGATTATAGTCCAAGTAACTCTAGAAGTTTGTGGGTTTGTAGTGGAGATTGGTGGCCAGCCTAGCCCCAGAAATGAAAAAAGAAGTTAAGGAAGGGAAGGGAGATGACTGAGATAGAATTAACCAAGGAGAAGGTGCCTGGTATTTTGAAAAGCAATAAGATAGAAAAGTCCCCAGGATCTCATGTCCCAGAGCACTGAGGGAGGAAATTGCTAGGGCCTTATATGAAATCTTTGTATCCTGTTTAGTCCCAAGGGAGGTCCCAGAGGACAGGAGAATAGCCAACATTGGCCTTCTTAAACAAAGGAACAACAGGGTTAATACAAGAAATTACAGGCAGGTGAGCCTTACATCAGCGGTAGGAAATTATTGGAGAAGATTATTTGGGATAGGATTTAATCACATTTGGGAAAATAGGGACTTATTAGCAACAGATAGATAGTATGGCTTTGTGCAGGGAAGATCATGTCTCACAAACTTGATTGAGTTTTTTGAGGAAGTGACAAAGATGATTGATTGAGGACAGGACAGTGGATATTGCCTACATGGTCTTTACCAAGGCTATTGATCTGATCCCTCACTGCCTGCTACTTGTCAGCCCAAGCCTGGATATCATTTCAAGTTTGACTGCATTTGGACATAGACTGCTTCAGACTCTGAGGAATCGTGAATGGTGCTGAACATTGTGCAATCATCAATAAACATACCGACGTCTGACTTTATGATGGAGGGAAGGTCATTGACGAAGCAGCTGAAGATAGTTGGGCCTAGGATGCTACTCCTGAGGGACTCCTGGAGATGCGTCATATCAACTCCAACAACCACAACCATCGTCCATTTTGCTAGCTATCATTTCAACCATTGGTGTGTTTACCCAGGATTTCCATTGATTTTACTTTTGCTAGGGTTCCTTCATACTACACTCAGTCAAATGCAGCATTGATGTAAGGGCTGTGACTCTCATCTCATTCCTAGAATTCAGCTCTTTAGTCCATGTTTGAACCAAGGCTATAACAAATGACACTGGAGGACCCCAGTTGAGCATCAGTGAACAGATTTTTGCTAAACAAGAATTGCTTGATAACATTGACCCCTCCTATCACTTTACTAATGATCGAGAGTAGACTTTTGCAACGGTGGTTGGCGACAATGAATTTGTCTTGCTTTGCGTGTTCAGGATTTTCCACATTGTCAGGTGGATTCCAGTAGTTGTAGTGGAACAGCATAGCTAGGGGAGCAGCAAGTTCTGGAACACAAGTCATCTGTGCTATAATTGCTTGAATGTTGTCAGGGTTCATAGACTTTGCAGCAACCAGTGCCGTCAGCCATTTCTTGATATCTCATGGAGTGAGTCAAATTGTTGAAGACTGGCATCTGTGATGCTGCAGATCTCTGGAGGAGGCTGAGGTAGGTCAACACTTCTGGCTGAAGATTGTGTGTGCTTCAACCTTTTTTGCACTGATATGCTGAGCTCCACCATTATTGAGGAGAGGTACATCTGTGGAGTTGCCTCCTCCAATGAGTTGTTTAATTGTCTGTCTCCATTCCTGACAGAATGTGTGTGGACTGCAGAGCTTAAACCTGATTTGTTGATTGTGGAATTGCTCAACTGTCTATCACTTACTGCTTATCCTGTTTGGTTTACAAATGGTCTTACATTGTAGCTTTGCCAGTTTGACACCTTATTTTTTAGATATGCTTGGTACTGCTCCTGGTATGCCCTCCTGCACTCTTCATTGAACCAGCGTTCAACCCCAGGCTTAATGATAACGGTTGAATGGAGATATGACAGACTATGAGGTTGCAGATTATTTTTAAGTATAGTTCTTCTACTGCCGATGGCCCACAGCATCTCATTGATGCTGAGCCTTGATTTGCTAGATCTGTTCAAAGCCTATCTATTTAGCACTATGACAGTGTTGCACTATGAGAAGGTGAATGTTCTCAACGTGAAGATGGAACTTCATCTCCACAGGCCTATATGGTGGTCACTCCTACCAGTACTGACATGGACAGATGCATTTGCGGTAGACAGATTGGTGCAGATGAGGTCAAGGATGCTTTTCTGTCTTGTTTATTCCATCTCGCCTGCCACAGACCAAGTCTAGCAGCAATGTGCTTTAGGACTCAACCATAATAGTTCTTACTGGTGCTGCCCGAGCCACTCTTGGTATTGGACAGTCCTCTGCCCTTCCGCCACACACACCAACCTCCCTCCCCCCGCCCCCTGCCGATCCACAATGCATTCTGCATCCTTGCGATCTTCAGTACTTCCTCCAACTGGTATATTACATGGTATTTAGATTCATCTGCTGATGGGAGGTGGGGTTAACTCCCACCTAACTGTGTATACCATATCTGCTAGGTATATTCTGCCAATGGGACAAGACATTCCCAGGAATTGAGATGGTCTTGGACCTTGTGCGTAAGGCATGACCCTGTGACTATGGCTATGTCAGACTGTGTTGCTTGACTAGTCTGTGACACAGCTGTCACAATATTGGCAGCACCCCCAGATATTAGTAAGCGGACTTTGTAGGGTCAATAGGACTGAGTTTGCTCTTGTTGTTTCTCATGCCTATGACAATGCACATTGTTCCACCAGTTTCTTTTATTTTAGACTTTTTAGCCATTTGCAACTGAAGTTTTCCCTTGATATAGGATGTGAATGAACCAGATGGATTTTTTATGACAATCAACAATGGTTTTACATTAGGCTTTTAATGCCAGGTAATTTTTTGTTTTTAATCTGATTTCAAATTCCACCTTTTTGGTGTGGTGAACTTTCAACCTAGATACCTAGAACATTACATGGATTTTCTGGATTACTATTTCCAGTGACAATATCACTATGACATCATATCCCCATACTTTATAATCACTATCCATAGTTTAATCTCTTCTAAAGTAGGTGGACCCAGCCTTTAAGTGTTTCTCGTTGATTGGGGTTCTTTATTTAAAAAGGACTTGTACTTGTGGAGTGGTATTCATTACTACTGGAAGTCCCAAAGTGCTTTATAATTGAA